ACACACACACACACACACACACACACACACACACACACCCACACACACACACACACACACGTGCATGCATGCACACACACACACAGGTTGGGAGTAATCGTATGATATTTGCAATAGGAGTTAAGTATAATCTGATGCTTTCATTAAGCACCTTTAAAAAGAATTATTAATCTGACCATGATGATTTTCTATTTGACTAATGAACTATTTTACATATTATAGTAAACTTCAATACTTCCTTAAGTAGCTTTGCTGATGTATCTGAATATAAACAGTCTTGTTTTAACTTTTAAAAACAACAATGAGTAGGGATGCCACTTTTATCTTAGTTACTCTTATAATCAGATGTCCCGTCATTTTATTCTCTTCCAATGGCAAACATTTAAAATGTAAACTTTTAATATAGTGTTGGCTATGCATTTGTATTTTCTTATACTCGGTGCCCCATTGCCTTCTCCTAGAGAAAAGGATATGGAAAAAAAGAGATGGTCAAAATTGTAATCATCGTTTTAGCTTTAGTTCTACTGTTGCCAAAAGACCTTTATTCTCTTTCACCAACTAATCATCTGAGAGGCCTAACTAATGGTTTAAGTCTAATTCTAAACTGACTTCTTTCTTTCAATTTATTTGTTTCCCAGGAAGTGCAGTTGGTTCTCAAATCATTTGTCATTTCCAATAAAGCAGGTAACTTTAAGAAACATGGAGGAAATATTTGCAAATGGAGAAAAGATTTGCTTTGCTGTGGTTACAAACTGAGTCAACAATTCTAGCACAAGTCACTTAGAGGTAAGGCATTGCAGTTTACCTGTATCTGTTCCACACAGGTATGCACGATGCTGAAATGCAGAACAACTAATTGGACAACTTGTGGACAGCCAGTGGAAACAGCTGTGACAAGATTCGATATCTTTTCCCTAAGTGGCACATTTGGAACAGAGTATGTTTTTCCTGAAGTGTTACTTACTAAAATTCAACTGTCTCCTGGAAAATTTGAGGTAGGAGGATTTTAAGAATATTTTTGTTTTATCTGTTCTCTGAAGCCAAGTAAAATAGGCTATGGCAACTCTATCCATTAACTTTGACTGACACATCTCCTCAAACCTTGATGGATTTAAACAATAACCATTTCTTTAGCTCTGATTTTGTGGTTGACAATGTGAAGGTCACGTAGCTAGGCTGTTCTTCTGCGTTGGAACAGGCTTAGCCGATCTTGGCTGGGTTCACTCGTACCTCTGCCTCTAGCCAGAGGGTGGGTTGAGGCTGGCTGGTTTGTGATGGCCTTGTCTGGGACAGCTGGGATGGCCGGGGCCACTCTATCCTGGCTGTCTCTCCTCTTCCAGCAAACTTGGGCTTGTTCACGTGATAGCTGAAGGAATCCAAGAGCATCAACAGGGAAAACTACAGTGAGACTTTTCAAGTCTCTGCTTGCACCATGTTTGTAAATATCTCATTGACCACAGCAAGTCACATGACAAATGTAGATTCAAGGGTTAGAAAAATAAATGATGTGGATCTCTCAGTGGGAAGAGCTATAAAATCACATTGCAAAAGAGCATGGATAAAAGAGGAGGAAATTTCTTTGCCATTTTTGCAATTTACAGCAACTTACTGCAAAGTGATGACGCTTTGTTCAAATAGCACAAAAAGGGAACCCCTGGACCTGCGGGAGCTGGCCTCCCGCAGATACTCTAGGGCAGCGGTTCTCAACCTGTGGGTTGTGACCCCTTTGGGGGTCGAACGACCCTTTCACAGGGGCCGCCTATGACCATCAGAAAACAAAAAGATATTTACATTATGATTCATAACAGTAGCAAAATTACAGTTGTAGCGTAGCAGCAAAAATAATTTTATGGTTGGGGGTCACCACAACATGAGGAACTATATTAAGGGGTCGCGGCATTAGGAAGGTTGAGAACCACTACTCTAGGGCATGACTTTCCCTGAATGAAGTGCATCAGACTCCGAGGAACAGACACTAACCACATCAGAAGATGGATAAAAGAGAGGACCATTTTATTATTATTGTTTACAATAGATTCACTTAGCTGGAGAACAATAAACTGTGGTCTCAAGAAGGCTCTCCATTGGCAAGTCCTCTCAAGCATTGAAGCTACGGATCAGGTGTTTGTTTTGTGAGCACACGATTAAAAGAAAAAGAGTTGGATATTCGTAGAACAGATTTCCATCAAGCTATGAAAGCTTGAGCCAATGTGCTTCTCTTCTCTAGGGCTTGGTTAGCTAAGACCATGGTCAACCTGGGGGCCTACTTTCCTCAAGAAGGACCAAATAAGCAGCAACTAGGCCTTGATTTTTTTAAATTATCCTTTCTGTAGAGACCTTGCAGACCATGGCCCTTCTGGTAACATATTATTTTCAGAGAGACCGGTTTATAATGTCATAGATGACAAGTTTTTTACATGCGTTTTGCTGGCCATGTCCTCTGCAGTATTTTCCAGTTTCCTTCACCGATGCACTCTGTCAGCAAGGATGTACACATTATCTTAGAGGATCACTCCTGCCGAGGTTTCAACACATTCACTGAGTGTCTTTTCCCACCCCTAATTTTATGGTAAAAACAAGAAGTGTTACTGACCATGACCACAAATGTGGAAAACATCTTGCTGTAACATTTTAGGTCATGTTGGTGTAGTGTCAGAAATCTGATCTCTGCAACTAAATAGTTATGTAACCATGTGCAAGCCTGTTAACCTCTGAATTTCCTACGTGGGAAGGGGAGAGAGTATCTACCTCCCTGATTTGGTGAGCATCAGAAATGATAATGCCTGTGAAAGCACTTTGTGAACAGTGAAGCATTATACAAATATCAGGATGTATTTTTAAGTACTTACTACAAAAGCTTTACCTGGTTAACCAAATTCATTAACACCTGGGAGGAAACGCTGGTCAGAAATCGGCCACATGTTTTGAACATCATGTAAGTATAGGTCAATGTGCAGATGGGCTGGAGGAGAAAGGGGGCAGGCCCCATTCCAGTTCCAGTAAATCAGAATCTCGAAAAGGTGGGACTTGTACTTTTTCAGAGTTCCACAGGTGATTTTGATGGGTAAGAAGTACCAGTTTAAGGGACTAATGAAATAGGTCAAATTATATTTAGTGTATACTGCTGAAAGGGCTAGTAAATCGTATAGATTATTTTAGGAAAATGTCTAACAAGAAACCAGTAACAATGCTAAATTCTAGCTAGAACCTGAGAGACAGCAACTGATCTAGAACAATTAATCCCCAAAAGATCCAAATAGACGAAATTTTACTATATTGTTGAAAAGTCACTAGAAAATAAAATATCTGTGTTTAACTTGTTTTAAGCTTTCACTCAGTTTGAAATACAGATCTGGTATTTTATTTTTGTTCCTTTAATGAGCAATTTAATAAATAAGGAACAATTTATAAAGAATGAAAACTAAACAGTGAACATTGAATACTTTATAGTATTCCTTTAATTACCATGAGGTTGTAACTTGTTAGTAATCTATGTCTTTATGTGTATGTGGTCACCACAGAAATTATCTTCTAAGATATTTAGTTATTTTCTTCTTCCAGTTATGAAATATCCGGTTTCTCAGTTTCCAAGTTTTTCTCCATCAAAACTGTCCTTCTCGCAACTGATGGATTCAGTCATTGTCTTTTATTCTTGTTCTATTATCTGTTTGTGTTTCTTTCTAATCTTGTCGCATCAGTTTGCACCCATTCCTCCCTTACAAAGAGGCCTCTGTGACTTCAGAATTCATCTGGTCATTCATGGCTCTTATAGTCTGACCACTCCCTTCCTCTTTTATGGCTTATTCTCATCTTCACCAATCTTCAACTCTATCCAGTAGTGTGCTATCAATTTTAACAACCCACTCTCTGAGGAAAAAAAGAAAAAGCCTTGATTTGTGGCATTTGCCAGTTCTCATGGTGTACATGTTCCTACCACGATCAGTTCCAAGACTGGCTATGTTTACCAACCAGCTGTTAAAAGTTCCTAGAATTGTAACAGCCTGTCCTGGCAAGCTAATGCACCACCAGCTCCAGCACACCACCGGTTGTAGCCAACAGGAGTGAGGAAGCCCATGGCCTAGACCTGTCACACGCACTTCTGCCTCAGAAGGAGACGACGCTTCTTGGATTTCCACTTCCCACCAGGTCTTCTGTGATCAGCCCCAGGGAGAAATTCCACTAACTGCTCCTTCTTGTGGAAGGCTGTGCCCAGCTGCTTCTCAGACCTCCTAAACATTTATCTGTTTCCCTCTCTAATATACTGATTTCTCTCTTATGCTTAGGATCTGCTCAGTTTCACCTGTAACTTTTATTATTATTTCTTTATTACTTTCAGTGTACAAAAACAACATAACGATCGGACAGTTACACTTTTCACAAAGTGATAACCCCCCAAGTCTACTACCCCTCAGACATCGTACATAGCTATTACAATACCATTGTCTATTCCCTATACTTTATATCCCATGACTATATACCATATCCCATGATTATATAATATATATAATTTATATAATATATATCAAATTATAGTTGACATTCAGCATTATTTTATATTAGTTTCAGCATTGGTTAGGCATTTATAGATAATCTATGAAGTGACCGTTCGATAGTCCAGTGCCCATCTGGCACCCTACATAATCTTTCCAACATTATTGATTATATTCTCCATACTGTATTTTACGTCCACGTGACTATTTTGTGACTACCAATTTGTACTTCCTTAATCCCCTCACTGTCTCCCCCATCCCCCAAAACCCCCTCCCATCTAGCAGCCATCATTTTTTTCTTTGTATCTCTGAGTCTATTTCTGTTTTGTTTGCTCATTTATTCTGTTCTTTAGATTCCACATGTAAGTGAGATCATATGGTATTTGTCCTTCTCAGTCTGACTTATTTCACTTAGCATAATATTCTCAAGGTCCATCCATGTTGTTGCAAATGGTAAGATTTCATTCTTTTTTATGGCAAAACAATCAACAGACAATTGGATAAAGAAATTCTGGTAGAGTCACCTTTACCTTTTATGCTTCTTGAGGGAAGAGTGTGATTTTACTCCTCTAACTCCTGATTATCTTGCACACAATTGGACTCAAATCTTTGCTGCAGCTGATTTTTGACTTCTCATTAAAGGTTACATTTGATTGTTGAAATTCAAATATTGAGCCTTTTTAGAATGGCTGTACTCTCCATTATATATAAAATAGCTGGCCCCTTCCTGTCCTTCCTGTTCCCCAGTCACCCCACCCCATCAAGCTGGGACTATTTGATCAACCATGATATATAGGATTGCTTCAAAAATATTATTCTCTTTGCAATGTGTATTTTAATTAAGCTGACTATATTTTCCCACTGTTTCTTTAGGTACTAAAAGATGGCCGTTTGGTAAACAAGAATGGATTATCCGAGCCTATCCTAACAGTGACACTCTTTGGGAGATGGTATACTAAGGACTCACATTCCATCTCAGGAAGGACCAGGAACTTGGCAACAACTTACCTGCTAATAGCCACTTTATTCATGATCATAGTTTTGCAAAATGTTGTGATGGTGTAGGACATTTCTGTATCACATTCATTTTGGCAGCATATATTTTATTTACCAAATGTGTTTATCCGGTTCCCAAGTTTACTAAGAAACTTTGAAGGGCTATCTCAGCAGTACAGGACAATGATTTCTAAATATGTATTTTTCTCATCAAGAATTATTTTTAAGTATTATGGTCATTTTGACTCCTTTTTGGCTACTCTGAAATGTTGCTGTGTGGTACAGTGGCGAGAGCATGGGTGTTTGACAATCACATCTTAGCTTTCGCTTTATTTGCTGTGTGACCTTGTGTGTGCTCCTGTGTGACCTTGTGTGTGCTCCTGTGTGAGAGGGACAGAGTGAAGAGCTTCAGGGCCATTGGAAACACAGCTGTGGCCTTTGAAGAGAGGAGTAATGATGGGAATTGAGGGGGTTACGACTGAATTCCATTTGACATTAAAGACAATTTGAGTTCTTCTAGTTTTCTGTGCAAATGATTAGGGGGAAATTTGCTGTCTAATCAGATGGTAATATTGAAGTTTATCTTCACAGTGAAAGTTGTGAGATGTTCTAGAAGAGATGACAGCTGGTCCAGATTCATATTGAAGGAGACCTCGCCCGGGGCATTCATGGCCCCAAACTACCTCACCTGAAGGCTGTGGTATAATTAACAGGCCCAAATCCCATAATACAAAGGCCATGACTGTTAATAGTAACACTATTTTCAACGCTGGGTAGTCTACTTTTTAAAAAAATATATACATCTTATGCTACTTGAAATATAGTGTATTTGTTACTGATCATTGAACACAAATATTCTTAAAATTAAGGAAATAAATTTTCAGATTTTTTTTTCAGATTTTATATCTCTAAAATTATTTTAAGTTGAATACTTTCACATCAAAATATCAAAATTGAGTCATTTACGTTTTGTTTTTATATATTGTTGTATATCTACTCCATACGAATTCAATTTGAATATTCTTTTAAAACACAATAGAAAAATTAAGACTACTTTTGTAATGAAGTGGTTATCATTAAGAGAAAGTAAATGGAGGTTAAGCTACATTTTGTGTTTAATTTTGAGAAGGGCTTATATGTTGCCTGTGTTCAACATTAGGACACGCATCAAAGATGGTTATTTTCAAATGGTGATGTATGTGTGTGTGTGTGTGTGTGTGTGTGTGTGTATTTCAAATCATATAACCATCAAAATTCTATGTTCTTTTTTTTTAAAAATATGGAACATTTCAGATTTGACCGGTTTTGCTTGAGGAAGTTAGACATTACGCAATAGTATTACTATGTGCATCGTGTCTCTTGGGCAATGATATTTTACTTCAAAAAGTTGAATTCTTGACTGGAAGTCAACAGCTGACCATACCACACCCCTCCCCC